TGATTATTTTTTCAATATTTTTTTATTATTTTCTGAATATTTGATTAAAAAATTGTTTTTTTTTTCAATATTTTTGATTATTTTTCAATTATAATTGTGAAAATAATGTTTTTTTAATTATTTAATTCAGAATTTGATAATTTTTTTTTCAGATTCTGATTATTTTTTCAATTTTCCTTGGGAAAATAATCTTTTTTTTATTATTTTATTCAAATAATTTTGATTATTTGATTAGAGAACATTAAGTTTCCTCAAAAATCGCTTCTTGTGATTTGCCCCTTGGAGAGCACTCAAAATGGGTCCAATGAACTTCCCTCCTCTTGTGGCGCTCTTCTGTGTCTTCCGGCAAAGTCTGGAAGATCATCATCAGCTGTCGCATGGTTTCTTTCGCAAAAGTGACAATTAAAAGTGCTCTCATGCCTCCTCTTGTGCAGGTGATTCACTGGGCGTGTAAATAAAGAGCAGAAAAGACACAGGAAGAGAGAGAGAATATACTTGAGATACATATTATATTCTTGACATACATAAAACATCTTATCGACGTGCACTGATAGAAAAATTGTAATGAAAATTAATTCAATTTCATCACATATTAAAGAATTGATAAATTTAATTGTCAAACTTAAAATTCTATGCTTGATATTTACAATATCAAAAGTTGTTCATTATTTTTCTAGGTTTTAAAACTAACTTTAAACCCACTTAAGGATTAAAAACCATTAGAAAAACCCATAAATTCTTATGCTTCAAAATATGTTGAACGTTTGCAATGAAAAAAAAACTGAACGATTATGGAAGTTTGAATGAAAAAAATTGTTTTAAAGTTAAACATAACCTAAAAAATATGTGTTAAAAATTGCTATATTGTCATTTTGAAGGTATTTCCCTCGTTTTTTGCACAATTTTGAGTACTTATCATGTAAAAACAATTTTATACTCTCTTAATTTGGTTTTAAAATGGTTAAAAGAAGTCATAACCTCACATTTTCTCAAAAAATTCATTTATAAAATCATAAATCTGAGCATTTGAGAATTTTAAACTCTTCTTAAGATGACAAAAATGTGGATTTCTTGCCAGTTATTTAAGAAAAAAAGCAATATTTTGCTGAGTGTGTTGAGAAGTTGGCAAAATTGCGGAATATCAACATATATCAACTGTGTTTGCTTTTGAGTTGTTCGATTTTGCGAATGGAGTTTTGGTGTTTTGCTTTGGCTGAATTTTCCGAGAATTTCCATATATATACGAGACTGAGGTAATTGGAAGAGTTGTTTTGCATTCACCAGAGAGAAGTTCTGTGGGTGAGAAAATGAGTAAATAGAATATTTGAGTAAAGTGCAAATCAAAATACAATCGCGAGAATGCGTGCTTTTGGGAAATTCAATTAAATGCCACACACTTTATGATTAATGCAGCCATATTGTGAAGACCAAGGGGGAGATAATACGGCTAAACAGTGTACACAATCTCCAAACACTTCTGCAATTCCTCTGCAGAATCTTCAACACTTCCAGACACTTCTTAACGCCCTTAAAAATGCATTTTCCATCGCTTTTTCCACTCTATCAACAGTTTAACGCGCTCAATTCTGGACTTATCACAAAGCTAATCGGGGTTTTTCCATCTCAAGATGTTTAAACTCTTCAAATGCTTCAGATTTCACACCGTAAAACCTGATTTTAACGTCTCAGAATTTGTTCATGAACGATTTCTGTCTTGATTTTCATAGTTTAATCTTCAGAAAATGCTTGAAAAATATTCTGAATAAATTGTGAGGTTATGAATTTTGCATAAAAATATGTTTAAAGCCTGGAAATGACTAAAAATTGCGAATATCACAATGTTTTCACAGAATTTTAAGCTGGATTTTGCTATTTTAAAACACAAACCGCAAAAAAAACTAAACAAAGAGAATTTTCTGAGACATTTTTGAGGTTATGGTTGACTTTCAGGCTGTTTTCTAACCTAATCCTAAGTTTTTTCGAACGCAAATGCCTAATTTGGCAAAAAAGGAGAAGAATTCTCAGTTTAAACACAAATTAGTAGATTTTGAGGGTTATTTTATTACATAACCTAAAAATAAAGCGATCAAATTGATTTTCCTAGGCAAAGTAATAAGAAAAAATGCCTCAATTTGTTGAAAAGGAAGCTTTTCCAGTGAAAATATTCTTGTACAGTGAAAACCGCGAAAATAACCAAGGCAAAAAGACATTTTTCTGCAATTTAAGTGATATTTTTGAGGGTGTGTTTAACTTTTAGGCTCTTTCTCAATTTAATATCAAGTTTTTTCGCACAAAAATGCTACAATGTGCTAAGAAATAGATAAATTTGACAATTTAATCTGGTTTTTAATTAAACATAACCTCAAAAAAGCAATAAAATTGATTTTTAAGCAAAATTAATTAGGAAAATGCCTCATATTGGTTGAAATGGAAGCTTTTTCCACTTCTAAACACTTCCTTTCAAGCTGTACACCACTTCCTACCATAATATCTACCCCTTGATGAAGACAATTGTTTTGCAGATTGTGTCAAGACAATGTGCGCTTTTTTTTCTCTTTCTTCACTCGCACATTTGATGAATGAACAAGAGACTTTTTGACTGTGTGTGTTGTTGGAATATTTGCCATCGTGCAAAAGAAATATATTCCCTCTATTGTGTGTATTTACCTCTCGTTTATAAAGTCTCTTTTCGTGTTCTTGTAACAAATGCACAACAATTCGCAATTTCATAATCATAAGAGAAGAGAGAAAAAAAATGGAAAACTAATAATTGCAGTGGAATCTATTGCAGAAATGCAAAAAGCATGACAATCTTCGGGGACGTTGTAACATTGTTGCCATATATATATTCATTGACTTTATGCAGAACATTCATATATAGTCAGAAAGTCTGTGGTTTAGTGAAAGTTTTCATACGCGCAAACTGTACTTTATCATTCCCAATTTTATTGGCGGGGAGGAAAAACTATTTCCTCAGAGGGAAGTTCAAGGTTTCTTCCCTGGGTTGTTGTTGTCGGGAGAAATTGAGATCATGAATGTGCGTTGAATTTGTGCTTAAAGACACTCTTTTTCCCCCCTCATATCAATTTTCAATACAACATTTGCCCCTCTTGATTTTCCCGATTTTCCCTTCCAATATATATATATATATATATATAAACACCCAAATTTGCCATGACAACATGAAGTGCCTTATCGCAGATCGAAAGACGTTTGCGTGGAGGGTTTTTGGGGGTGGTGGCAAAAAGCGGAATTTTCGAGGGTATAGAAAATGCAGCTCACGAGAGGAGGAAAAGCCCCTCAAGGGGAGAGAGTTTGCCCTAATCGAGGAAAAGAAGTCAGTGGCGTAGTCAAAAAAAAAACACCTCTGAGCTCGTCGAGAAGATTTCAATGTGTTGGTGAACATTTGAAAAAGAAATGTTAAACTTGTGAAAATCAATCAGTAACTCAACAAACCATAGAAGCTAAAAACAACACAAGTGTTTCAGCTAAAAAGTACTAAAATGTCTGAGCTAAAATTTGAGCAACTCTTGATCAAAGTTAGTTTTTCACAACGACAAATTTTGCCTCCAAAATAACTCTTGATAAAATCGAAGGTGATCGGCAAGTTCAAGGGTTTAAGATGCCAAAAAACCATTCTTCCGCGTAACTGAGTAACTCTTCATGAACAGAGGAATGTCTACCTCCGGATTCTCCACTTCCGGATGGAGATTTTTGAGGAAAAAGTATCACAAGAAGAATGAAATGTATCATTTCACGACACGATGAAACTATTAATTTTGTGTATTAATTAATTCAGCCCTATAATGTCTATTTTAGATCTACTTATTAACTTTAGAACAGTGAAATGGTTCATTAGAATTGTGGTTTTTCATTGTGAGAAGCTGCTAAATTCTGTAAGAATTCTTTAATCCATTCTATAACAGCTAAATAATTGAGCACTTTCATTGCTCTTATGTTTTAGTGTTTTTACCAAAGTTACAAGTCGTTGCAACTTTACTGATTTCAGTCCGTATAAAATATTAATCGGGCGATGCAACTTTACTGTTTTCTTATATTATATTATATTAGCGGCCACTAGGCGGCGCTAGTGTAAAGTACGAATGAAATACGAATGAGAAAGCGTTGCAAGGCAAAGTTTGGAGTTTATTTAATACAAATTTCAGTTGTCAGAATGACATTTGTTCTTTGATGGTGTTTTTAGGACAGAAAATTCCAACTTCCACCCAGTTTCTGACCAATTTCCTCCACGAGAAAGTTAGCAAATGTTCTTCAGTAGAAGAAAAGCGTATTTTTCCGAGCTCCTCCTAAACTAATGTCAAGGAACTTCAAAAAATAGTGAAACCTAGTGACAGAACATCTTCATTTGCGACTTTTCCTGACATTCTGAAAGTACTCTGCCTGATGGCCAAGGTGTCCTGGAAGTTGTGACATTTCAGCACAACTGTATTTACGACATCTGGTGCCCAAGTGAGGCGATAAATCCCATAAAATTTGTGCTAATTAACCAAAAAAAACTTAAATTTTGTCAATTTCACTTTGTCAATTAATATATGTATAATATACAAATCGCAATCTTGCAACACCTTTTAGTAAATTCATTTTTTTTTGACAGCTTATTAAAAATGATATGACCGTAAAGTTGCAACGAAGCCCTAATGTATTTTGATGTAAAATATGATCCTAGCAAGTTTTCTTGCTGTCTCAACTCCACCACTGGCGGGGAAAGTGCATGAATTTCCCCACAGGGAGACTCATCAGTTTCCACGAAAGTTCTTCATTGCGCATATTTGTGTTAATCTAAATTGCAATCATCTCGTCACGTATGAATTTTGACTGTCGCTCTTTATTTTCCCCTCAAAAAAAACACACACACACACACACAGAAAGACAAAAACAGGGTGGAAGTGTTAATTTTCCGCGTGTGAATAAAGTGTGGTAATTTTGGTTTTTAATGGCATTGACTCAGTGGCGGATTGTGTGTGGATTTCCACGTGCAGTGGAGTGAATTTGCGAGGCATCCTGTATGCGACATGCTCAGAAGGGCAAAGAAGGAGCAAGATGGTGCGAGAGAAGGAAAGCCGAGACATGACCGAAGTGCACTCGGGTGGCGCTTCTGGTTTTATGTGGCGAGTGCCGAAGAACCAGAAGGAAACTTCCGAAGGGGGACGCACGCATTTTGCAATTGAAGTCAAAGAGAGAGAGCCAACACACACCAGAGAGTACTCTTGCCAAAAGGGAGGTGAACGTCCAATTGAGCTGTTGGCAAAAATTTTCCCAATTCGTCTCCTGTTCTTTCTCTCTCTCTAGAGTGTGTTTGTTCTCTGTGAAGTTTTTAATGCCTTTTTTTCCACCCTTTTTCCGTCTAAAGTGCAGAGCTTTTGCAAGTGAATTTGTTAAGGCAACACATTGGTGAAAGGAATGATTGAATTGGTTCTTTTTCGGAGTGCTGAGAAGGTTTTCTCACTGACCGAAAATTGACTTTTTTTTTGGGAGTGAAAGTGAAGAAGTGCAGAGAATAGAGTCACCACACTCTAAGCTAGAGCTGTGAAAAATTGTCTGTGATTTTCTGTGCGAAGAGACAATAAAGGCCATTGCAGAGGTTTTTTTTTCTCCAAAAATACATATATTGCTTAGGGAATTAGCCCTCCAGAAAAAGAGTTTTGGTGCCATACAGTTGGTGAAGTCTGTGGTTGAAGTGCTTTCTGTGTCTCTTTTTGGTCTCTCCCTCGCGCGATTCATCCATTGCAAGAGGCGAGCAATTTATCGATTTTTCCTCTTGATGGTGATACCAAGAGGCGCTCATACATGGCATTTTATGGGTGCTAGAGTGAGAGAGAGGACATCGGCAGAATAGCAATAGCAATATATAGGGGAGAGTCACGCAACTCTCGAGGGTTGGCGAAAATATCTCCTCATATTCGTGTCGCTCCTCTTCTGTCGTTGAAAATTTTTGTGAAACTCTCTTGGTGAACTTCCTCACAAGACATTGTATTTTATATATCCTCGAGGAAGACGCTCAGCAGTGGTGTTGTGTGTGCTTCAGTGTTGTGTGTGTGTCCCTTCTTGCATTTTGGAAATGTGATACAGTTTTCCCCCTGTGTTCTTTTTCGCGTCGAAACAAATAATACTTCCACATCATCATCCCGAGCCAACACACACCCAGAACCAATATCCCTGGGTCACTCTTTCCGCTGTCGCGCTCGTCCTGTGTGGGAAATCCATCAGCCAACGTGTGGGGAAAAATTCCTCTGCAACGCAAAGTCTCACCGAGAGTGAGCAATATGAGTGTTGCTGACGTCTACGGGTGAGTTTTACCCCCATTTTCACTAATGAATTCCTCTTCCTCTCTCTCGCGCGCACACACCAAGAGAGGAATTTTCCATCGCATCCATTTGATTGTCTGCAAGGACCAGATATTATGGTCAGAAGTGATGTACAGCTTGAAAGGAAGTGTTTAGAAGTGGAAATGGCAAAATATATTAAAATATTTTCACTGAAAAAGCTTCAAATTCAACCAAATTGAGGCATTTTCGTAATAATTTTTGCTTTAAAATCAATTTTATCGCTTTGTTATTAGGTTATGTGACAGAAAAACCCTCAAAATCATCTAATTTGTGTTTAAACTGAGAATTCTTCACTTTTCTTGTCACAATTAAGCATTTTTGTGCGGAAAAAATTCCAGATTAGGTTAGAGAAAGCCTAAAAGTGAACCATAACCTCAAAAATGTCTCAGAAAATTCTCTTTGTTTAGTTATTTTTGCGGTTTGTGCTCTAAAATGGCAAATTTGACCTTTTTTTTTAATGGAAACATTGTGATATTTGCAATTTTTAGTCGTTTCCAGACTTGAAGTATTTTTACGGTATGAAATCTGAAGCATTTGAAGAGTTTAAACTTCTTGAGGCGGAAAAACTCGGATTAGCTTTGTGATAAGTCCAGAATTGATTGTGAAAAACAATTGATGGAGTGGAAAATGCGATGGAAAATGCATTTTTAAGTGGCGTTAAGAAGTGTCTGAAAGTGTTGAAGAATCTGCAGAGGAATTGCAGAAGTGTTTTGAAAGTGGTTTAGCCGTATTATCTCCCCCTTGGATTGTTTGTCTCGCAGCATCACAAGAACCTATATTAGATTAAATTGCTGGTGGATAAAGTTGATGTCTCATTGGATTTATTTTGTCGTGCAAAAATAATATGAGATGACTTTTTTGGCACACTCTCGAAATTGTGCCATTTTAGTGTGTTGCATAATGTAATTTTTCACACACACATTTATGGTGAACTCGACCTTAAATTATATGCGTTAGAAAGTGTCACATTTTCCAACAGGCACAAATTCGCATGAAGAATGGCATGAAATCAGTCAAACAATTACATTTTACATTTCTTTTGTAATTTTAATGGGAGTTTTCTGGGGGAATTTTGTCTGCGTAATATGTATGTTAAACTGGAGATTTGGTTCTTTTATTACGTACAGAAGTGAAAATTATGTTTAGAAGAACACCAAATCAAAGAACATTTGAGTGGTAGAGTAAACGCTATTAGAACCATTCTCCTGCCATTACCACTGATAATATATTATTGATGGTTTTCTGGGCTTTATAACAAGAAAATCAACTCAAAATCATACTTTCTTTAGATCAAAGTGTTTATAATTCACACATCTATATAATTGTCTTTTATCGATCAACTTGATTTTCTTATTTATAAACTTCATAAGAAACACAGAAGTACACATCTTGAATATTGAAAATTTCCTATAAGTCGTTTTCCTTAAGGAGCAACTGAAGAAGTCTTGTTGTTGCATAACTTTGTATGACTGCAAAAATCAACATAAAGAAGAAAAACCAGTGTTTAAAAATTAAAATTGAATCTGCATAACAAAGTTTGCTACAATTTTTCATTGTGGATTATCCACATAAATTTTAACTCTGTCTTCCACACTATTTTCTGCATTATTGATCAATATATATATATATGCTGTGTTGGTCTCTTTTCGTGTGGCGTTGAGAGCAATGCGATGCTCTCGCCAGGATTTTGGCCTCCTGAGGCGCGTATTTTGGGGGCACCAAAAGTGAACATCAAAAAACCATATCAGCCCAGAGAAGCAGCAGCAGCGCAACTCATTCGCGGTGAATGCTTGAGGATGTGGGATTTTCCAGAGAAATTTTTCCTCAACATTATTATAACTCTCCTATGATGTTGGCTTTGGCAGACGGCCAAAGTGTGAATCTTTCTTTGGTGCTGTCCGTGACACACAAGGGGTCAATCAGTCGCAAGTTGAGACCATTATCATTGTGATTATTCAATCATTTTTCTTTGATTATTTATGATTATTAGTCAAATTTTAATATAAATATTAATTTTTTATCATTATTTTATTCAAATTTTGCCATTTTAATTTGGAAAACAATCATTTTTATATTATTATATTGAAAATTTGTTTTTTTCTCAACTTTACTTTGAAAAATAATCATTTTTTGATATTTTTTTTCATTTTATACTTTGCAATTTTACTTTGGAAAATAATCCCTTTTTGATCATTTAATTCAGAACTTGGGAACCGTTTTTTTATTATTTTATTCAAAATATGTTTATTTTTCAAAATCTACTTAAAAAATAATCATTTTTTGACTATTTAATTCAAAATTTGGTTATTTTGATTTTTTTTTCAATTTTTTTTAGGAAAATAATCATTTGTTTAAATTTTTTAATTCAGAATTTGATTATTTTTCAATTTTAATTGGGAAAATAAACATTTTTTAAAATGATTTTATTCAGAATTTGATTATTTTTCAATTTTACTTCGAAAAAGAATCTTTTTTTTTAATTATTTTACTCAAATAATTGATTATTTGATTAGAGAACATTAAGTGTCCTCAAAAATCACCTTCTGATTTGCCCCTTGCCGTGACACGAGAAAGAGAGAGAGAGAATGAGAGAGTTTTGCACAAGTGGAGGTCATTAAATTACTTATCGCGAAATCTTTTCTTTGATGGGCAAAATCTCGAGGGTGCAAAAGATTGCCAAATGTGTTGTCACTTCTTGAATTTGTGTTCTTTTTTTTTCTATGTCACCTCTCTCCACCCACTGGCGCAATGGTAAAACATTTGTGGCACACAGAAATCATCGCGTCAAGGTGACAAATTGGCGCCACACTTTTATTCCATGATGACTCTTATAGTTTTCTTGCAATATCTCACTGGATTTCTCTCCGCCTCTTGACATTTTTCACGTGCTTTGAGCTGTTTTTTTCTTTTTTTTGCCCCTTCTTTTTGGGCAGTAATTCACGAGATTCGACGGACTGTGGGTGGAAAAGAGGAACTATTGTCACGTTTTGTGGCACTTTCAATCAGTTTGATTGAAATGTTAAAGCCTCTGTGAGTCTTTTCGGCGTGTGGAGGTGGCGTGAGGTGAATTATATGCGCAACAAGGGGGAGATAGTGTGGCTCAAATATATACATCACTTCTAGACACTTCCCAGATCTTCAGACTTTAGGGATTAACTAGCAATTTTATTACAAAAGTTTTCAATATGTTTCAAGTATTTTAAAATTTTCCATTTGATGGCTCTTTTACGGATATTGGATTAACTTAAAACTGATTTTAGTAACTAAATGAGTAAAAAAGAACAATAAATTTTAGAGTGTCTAAACTAAAATTTTCCCTCATCTGTAAAATCAAATATTTACGCTTAGCTCAAAATGCTTTTTCACATTTTTTGTGTTAAGAAAAATCAGATAAAAATCCAAGGAGGAAATAATATACCACAAATCTGTACACAATTCCTCTGCACAGAATCTTCAACATTTCCACACACTTCTGAACGTCTTAAAAGGCATTTTTCATCGCTTTTTAGACTCATTCAACTGTTTCTCACACTCAATTCTAGCTTTAAAATGCTTTTAAAAATTTGAACCAAATTATTAGGTTATGAATTGGACTTAAAAAGATCCTTTCTGGACTAATTTAGATCTTTATAAACCCTGGAAATGTGTGAATTTAGTGAATTTCTGAATATTTCTACTAGATAGGGGTAAGTGGGGCAGCTTCAGATTCAAAATGCTGTTCCAACTTTAGGATTTTTTCTTGAAAAATCGGCTGAATATATTGAAATGATCACAACGCTCAAATAAACTCTCGTCTGTTGAGCTTCAGAAAATGCCTTTTATTGAGCATTAAAACTGATCCTTTATCCTCTAAAGGAGAATGAAAATAATATTGTAATTAATCTGAAACTGCCCCGCACGGGGATGTTTCGGATTGCT